GAGGAGCTGAAAAGAAAAAAGCCTGTGTAGGTTAGATACATGGACTTTGATCTTTTTAAGTGTTGGCCATTCTGAATCTCTCCATTTTCAGGAAGACAAACTCACACAGAAGAGTTGTTCACCCCCAAGACCAACAGAAGGCAAGGCACCTTTAGGCATACTATCCTCTTGAAAAACAGGAATTTATGCCCTCTAAGACATTATGGGAAACTAAGGCATGTTTTTACCATGGAGAATATCTGCATTTCGCACACAATATTTAGGTGTATATTTAGAACATAGTTTTTCACCAAAAAAATGCAAAAGGAAAATTTTCTGGCATGTACCAGCATTGCATGTCCTGGTGTAATATTAGCCACATGAAATGGTAGAATTGTGCATCCATAAAACAATAATTCTGAACAGCCCAAGGCTATGTAAGTGCATAGGAGATGAGTCTGTTCATCATGTTTTATCAGGCCTTTGAAGGCTTAATATTTAATCTCTAAAGTGCAGATTCTGTTTCTGTGATCTTGCCTCTTATGTGCAGACTACAGTCCCACATGCAGAGCTGCTTCTGTCATACTTCTGTAGACATATAGGGGATTGCTGCAAAACTACACCAGCTCTAACACAATGGCACATAGCTGTAGACTGTGCTTTCCCTAAGTGCATATGGCCACGTGCACTGAATTTTACTAAAACACATAAAAAACAGGGAGGAGTATACTTGGTAGCATTTTCAGGAAGGCATGACCAATCTCCACAAACAAGTTGCACGCGACTGTGCCTCAGAAATCTCTGCAGAGGTTTCATGGGGGCTTCCCAAGAGCAGGTTTATAAAACTGAACTAAGCATCGTTAATTTATTGCCTTTTAGGGACTTCAGATACATTTTCTAGAGGATACAGGGTTGATTTAGCTTATACTCAGCTTTGTTCCTTGGCAAAGGGGTTCCTGGGGATTTTTTAGTGGTTTTTTTTAAGCAAACAAATAAAAATACATTCTGCAGCCAAGAGAAACTGGAGACTGTTACTTATCTTTACAAGTGACAGCTTCCTTGATCAGACACAATTTAGCAAGGCAAACACAAGTTAAAGACTTGAGCCATTTCTCCTTTCCTACTTTAATCTATCAGCTTGTCCTCTAGCCTTCCCTGGTGTTGTCACTCAGGCAATTCTCATTCTCTCATCTTGCTTTTGCCCTCCCTCTTCCTCAGTCCTGAATGCTCCTCCCTCCTCACCATCTACTGAAGTACAGTGCTCAGCTGGCTTCATACCCATCATACTCCTCCTCAGTTTGTGAAGGATTCACAATGCTCCACATTCTCCACTAGCATTCACGTCTCAAAAAAATATCCCCCAAAATCAAAGCAAAGGAACTGGAATTAACTCATTCCAAAGCGTAAGAGCATCGATTTGGGCTCAGATTTTGAGCCACAAGCCAAGGTGTTTCACTACACATGGTTTCCAATCCTCTGATTTTCATCTGTGTCTCTGGGCGTCACAGCCACCTTTGTCAGACTGCTTAAAATATTTCATAACTGAGCAAGTTAACAGGAGGAAACGTTATCCCACACCCCCCTCCCTTTCCTGGCAGTAATGTGGGAGGAAAGGCAATGCTGCACGGGCAGGGATGTGGAGCTCATCCCCCTCTCCCGTGTGAGCCTTCCAAACCTAGAGCCGTGTTTTCAAAAGAAGCACTGTGCTAAAGGCGCCCGGCGTTCGGCAAGGAGGCTGCTTCTGAGCCTGGAAAAAAAGAGCAGCCCCAGCAGCTTGTTGGTTTGTTTGTTTGTTTTTACAGGGGAATACAGGTTCACTCATCATTACAATAAGCACATTCACACTTGCCCTTAGCGGGTGTGAGCCTTCCAAACCTAGAGCCGTGTATGAATGAGCCTAGTAAGAGCTACATACTGCAGAGTCTTAGTCAGTGCTTTTCAAATTTGGGTCAGTCTGAGACTCCTTGGTTAAAAAAGTATTGCCATGAGCATTGTAAATTAATATTTTACATTCCCTTGAAGTGCCTTTTGAGGAAATTAGCCTTCAGTACGGCAGCATCTCCCCTGTAAATGCAGCAAACAGAAAATACCTCTGCTGACAAAGACATCATTGTAGGTCAGGGAAGGAGAGTAAATGTTGTGAGGGAAGAACTGGACTCATTCAGCAGCTCAATCAAAGGGGCATGTGCATCCCTGCTCCCCAGCAGCACCCCAAGCTGCAGCTCTAACAGCACCCATACACTACAAAGTAGTCTTACAGACTCCTGTACACCAGGGCAGCAGTACCCCATTGCCCCCCAGACCTACTGAAATAGTTAAGGTGGAGGTGTCAGTCCCTGTTGAATATGTCACAAGGGCATCAGGACCCTTGTGTTACTGCCAGCACTGGAATCTAAACTGGGAAAGCAGCAAGAGCACGGGGCTGCTGTGGTGCTGGTTTGAATTCCAGACTTTGGACCATTTGCACGGCGTGACCAGCACTAGAGCGAGTATTTTTGGCACTGGCTGGGGAGGTTCCTCCAGAGCTGAGTGCAGCCAGTCCAACTTGGCTGGCACAAGGCAGGGCTTTTCAAAATGTCTTGTGCTCCAATCGGAAAGCAGCTGAATGCTGCTCTTCTCAGAAAAGTGCTGCCCTTGTCCTTTTCTCATGAAAGCAAACTTGGTATTCATTTGGAGCAGGCCAGAGCTATTTCAGACACGGAAGACAGCAGACACAAATCAATAGAAAAAAATAACTTCTTTTTATTTACAAAAAAAAAATCCAAATATTGGATGCTGTAAACAAAATTCACAATCTGTTCCCTCTAGAGTCTGTTTCCCATCAGCTCTTTTTCTGTCTGTGACAAAGCCTATAGTCAAAATGTTCCAAAAGAGCAATAATCCAAAGAGCAGTTTGCTGCAACAGGATGCCTTGCAGAAGGCAACAGTTGTAAGGAAATCTGAGGGAAAGCAAATCTGCACAAACTCCTACAGACTGCAGAAGCCTGCAGTGCTTTAGCCAAGCTGTCTTGAAATTTGCAGGCTTTTTTTTTTTTCTTTTTTACTATTTATTTTGTTAGCAAACCATTATTACAACAGCAAAACAGTACATTGATTTTCTTTCCTGCAAGGGAAACTCTCTGCATAAAGAAAACCATACAAAAGAATATATTGAAACAGGAGCTGAGTATGCAATTACAGTTTTTCCTTTTCTGTGCAGTTTTAGCTAACACACTTGATTTTCTCATTAAAAAAAAAAAAAAAAGCTTTTTTTTTTTTTTTTTTAAACTGGTAGGAGCTTCTGACATGATGCAAACCAAGCAACTAATAAGAGGTGTTTAGAAGATTTGTGTGAAGGCCTTTGTGCAAGATAAAAAAATATTTTAAGTGCAATAAGAGAAAATAGAAAAATATAATCTTTTTGGTCTTTAAATTGCCCTTTAATTTTTAGAAGAAGTGTTCTTGCATTTGGAAGGACAGCTACACCTAAGGAAAAAAAATAAATCTAATTTCAAAGCTCTTGGTTGTTTCACGATTGCTACTTTTAACCAAGTTTAGTGCCCTGAGGGTTAGCAGTAAATTCAGCTGTGGCACAAACAGTTTTACTGTAATCAGGTCAATGTTTTTAATCAGTTCAGCTCTTTAAAAGGGGTACTGTCTCTTGTAGCACAAGTTCTAACCTTACATCTGATTGGATGGGAAAAATGAAGTCTACAAAGCAAGAACATGGTCGTTAACTTTAAAAGTACCAGTGTGCTGAAGAGAAGGGGAAAAATAAGTTTTAAAAAGTCAAGACTTCATGGAGAGGAAGGTGTGCAAACCACAGAAATAAACCAGCTTTGAAAAGGGCTTCTTATTTTACTCTTGGCCTGAACTCACGCCTTCTTCCCACCTCTAACACCAGGCACCTTTTAAGCTACCAGTCACAAATACAACAAAGCTCCACCAGTTCCACCACTTGATCATTAACATATGCAAAACAGATCTGGAATACCTATATAATATATATAAAAACATATTATATATGTATCAAAATGCAAACGCTGAAAGGTGCAGTTTAGCTCAGAGCCCTGCTGCATGCACTATAAGGTAACTCGCTGCTGTCAATCATTAAAAAATAAAAAACACAATAAAATTTGAGCTGAGAGGAAGTAAATCAAAACTTTCTTTCAAGCAAAGGGAAAAAACAGTCCTTCAAAGGAAAAAACACATCGGGTCATGTACTATCAGCGCGCTGCGGTTGTGGCACAGCTATAGATTCTCAAACCCTTTTAAAGAGCAGATGAGTCATTTGTTTGCTGCAAATAGTTGTGGCAAGAGAAGACCTACCACATTACCAGCTGATCCCATTTCCCCAGCCCTCCCCATAGCTTCCGATAGCAAACCCTCCCAGGAGCTGGAAGCAAGGGGAAAGAGAGGGTCAGGAACACGCAGCCAAGACCCTCAAGGGGCTTAAGGGGAACCTGGTGGATGAGAAGTCCAGTGAGAGGCTGCAGCCCATGCCAGAGGAAGGGAAGGTGGGGATGTGACCTGCAAGTCAACGCCGGGAATGGCAACGAAACAGCTTTTACATTTCCTGAAGGACTCGCAGGGAAGGTGCTTCAGTAAACAAATCAGGTTCCTGTTAAAATTGCCTCCAGAGTGAAAAGGTACAAAGCGTGACAAAAACAGATGTACCTCACTAGCTCCGCAGGGACAACACACTGCCAGGACTCCTCTCCCTGCCCCTGCCTCCTCCAACACTAGACCTGCCTGCAACCAGGCAGGGCACGGCCAGTTTCGTTCAGCCTGATTTCCCTCTTCTTTTTTTTTCCCCCTCAGAAAGAAAAAGCAAAATATCAGAGTCAAGTGTCACTTAGTCATTAGGTTTTCAAAGCCCAACAAAGAATTTAACACCTTCAGAGATGGAACTGAAGTGAAAACAACAGCGGAGGTTGCTTTTTCCCCCTGCTGGTCTTTTGGGAGAGGAAATGAAAGTGAATAGTTACTGTTCCAATGTAAAGTGATTCCATTTAAATAAAGTACAGTACTGAAATTGTAAATGCAGTGTGACAACCAGATCAAAGATGTTTAATATTTGCATAAAAATATATATATAATATATATATATAAAATATAATTTTAAGCAACCGTGCAACACTCTTAAAAATGGTTCATTTCACATTTGCTAAATTCTAGTGGTCCTGGAATGCTTAGCGCATTCTATTAAAAATACTCCTTTAAATATTAACAATTAGTGTTCAAATCACCAACTAATACAATATTCTTTAGCTGTCAGGGGATTTAAATAAAACTATCTTTGATCCACGTTCCACTGAATTACAGATCACGGAGGTATACAGTCACAACATTAGTGGGTTAAATGTCAAAATGGCATTACAGTACAAAATAGTTTAAAAAAAAAAATCAGCTAGTCATACGTTTCTCCATCTGTGGAATTATTATGGCTCACAAGCAACCCACTGAATTACTGTAATCCTTGTTCTTGCAACCAAAGACATTATCTGATTCCCACCTTATTCCTGACTGGTTCATTTACTCTAAATTTCTCAGGTGTGGGTTACAAATTCACTGCAAGGTGCCCACTGTCCTATGACAACCTCTTACAAACTGGAAAATACATAGTACTTTATTTAAACATTCCTTAATTGCTACATTTTTCTAGACCACATTAATATATATTGTGTGTGTATATATATAGATATACACTTATAACATGTACATATATACACACACAAACATATATACACACATACACACACGTACCTAGGATAACAGCACACCGACATAACATTAACTCTATACAGGTATTTGCCAAGAAAAAAAAAAAATAGGGCATTTCCTCCACCACTTATTCACAAGCTTATGGGGTTTTGTTTTTAATCCTTGTGTCCCTGATAAAATAAAATGCATGGTTAAACCACAAAACTATATCTTATTCTCACTTCAAATTTTATGAAGGCATCAGGCACTTTTGATTACTGTTGGTGTGTACAAATATAGCAACAATCTTTTTCTTTTCTTTTATATATATATATGTATATATATACTCTACTGTATCTTCTCTGCTCGGATAACTTATTTGAGAAATCTTTGGTCCTTGAGTATATTCTGTTTGCCACAGCTGGTTTTCCTGCATTCTCACATTTTTAAAATGTGAGGCACGCACACAGCTGGAAATAATGGACTTTGTCATCGTACAAGTTTCTGTTTTCATAACTGTACCAATCCACTACTGTTCATTTGGAGCAAGCTGTTTCTAGTAAAGCATTCTAGTCAAGCAAGCTATACATTCTACATGGTCAATCCACAGACGGCACTTGCTGCAAGCCCCAAATGCAGTAATTCCAATATACATTTTTATTCAGCTTATCTCTGCTTTATGCCTCTAACTTTTAATTCCTGAATATATATAGAATTCTTTTTTGTGAATTTTTTCTTTTTGTTGTTTTTTTTTTGTTTGTTTTGTTTCTTTCATAGTCTCCCTTTTGCAGATCCCATTCTAGAGTAAGAATAAAAATAAAAGAAAATAAGGCTTTCCCACCTTCTCTATGCCAAAGCTATGGGAGCAGATACTGCCAACCCATATTGTCATCAAGCATTCCTCCCTCGTTTATTTCAGGGGAAGCTGGTTGCTTTTAATGACAGGCCTCTTGTGCTCTGGGGTAGGATCCAATTATTCTGGGGTACTTTCTCGATCATGCTCCCATTATTTATTAGAAGAACCACAAGCTTTTCCCAAGCTTGAAAACTAGAGCAGATCATCATCATTGCACAAAACACCCCATTTCAAAGGGACGCGTCGCCCCTTCCTACGTCTTAGGAAACGTTCTTCCCACCGGATCTACTAATTTCAGTCCTTAATTACAGGGCAGCCAAGTAGAGTATGTGTGCTGCTGGCAGGGAAACACCGTCTGAACCTGGGCAATATAGTAATTGCTGAAGTTGGCATCTGCTACGTATGGGGCTGGCTGGTAATAGCAGGTGACATTGGCCACATTGGGGATGATATTTTGCTCAGCTAGGACCCGGATGGCCAGCATGGTGATCAGATTCAGAGTCTGTCTTCTCTCATGTCCCATCAGGCACACTGTGCTCTCATTCACCACACCATGAAGGGTCATGAGATAGTCATACTTGCGGTCCTCTAATCCCACAAAGTGGTTCTGCAAGTAGGACTCCAGCTTTCTCTGCTGTTCTCCAATGTCTGAGAAGTCAATGAAAAACCTCGAACACATGTATCTCTGCAGGGACTTTATCTCGGATTCGGAGGCAGCCCTAAAGCCCCTTACCAAAAGGTTGCAGTACTTCAGAAGACCACCTCCTCTGATTTCTTCTGGGTTTCTGGTAGCGATTACCTTGTTGCAGAGGTGATCAAAGGCTTCCTGGAAATCCCCATAGACACTCTCACCAATGATAGTCGGGTGAAAAGTTTCAGTCATTGGATTCTCTGAGCACTCATAAAAAAGCAAGAGGGAGTCCAGCTTGATTTGAAAAGAATCAACACTGAATTCAAACTGCCGCCTCAGAGAGTCCACAAATTTCAGCTCCACGTTTTTGCCACTGTTGTTGGACAGGGAGATGAGACTCCATCGGTCTGAATCATTGCATACTTTTACCATTTTCTGCACATAAGCCTCCTGTAGTTGGAAAGACAAAAAGAGCAAATGAAGACGTGGATGCAAGAAATGTCCCATTTGCTGCATTTGTTCACATCCATTCCTCGCCCCTCGCCCCTCCCCCCCCCGTCCTTGTGTCTCATAAAAGATTTCACGGAGCCTGCAGAAGCAAACCAGAGATGAAACGCTCAACGTGAGAGCCTGAAGTGCTGTCATTGCAAGGGGATGACAGGGAAGGGTGTTCTGCTGAGACTGTCTCGTGCAAAGGAAGCACAGGGTAACACTGCTTCTTTCAATCACTTCTAAATACGTCTACACATGAAGCCCACGGCACACACGCCAAATATCCCTGCACACAAAAGGTCACGGCTATGATCTGATAAGAAATCTTTTTAATCGCCTTCCACTTCCCTCCCCGCAAAATAATAATAAAAAAATAAACAAACAACCAAAAACAACTTAGCAAGTGTTCACTCCTCTCAATCCTCCTCTTTCAGCGCAGGTTCTACCACTCCGCCCCATATTTAAAAAAAAAAAAAAAATCCCTCTAAAAAAAAAACCCACACTAATCTGAAAGGCATTTGGCATTCAGCCCAATGAAGTGGAGTGGAGAGAAATGGCTCGGAGAGGACGGAATGCGCCTCGCTCTCCGCTGGGGCACGCAGCACACGACAGAGTGTGCTGCCCTGCAGACGGTGCTTCCTTCTTGCAGACACTAAAGCCATCTAACCTCCCAGCAGCCACACCGGGAACCGGGAGGGCAAACCGAGCTGCCGCAGTGCGAGATTTGCAGCGCCTTGAAAACACACACACACACGCACCAGGTAACTCAACGCTCCCAGCAAATCAAGCGAGAGAGAGGGAGAAAAGACTAATTAATCCTGAGAAGCCCAGGCCAGGTCGCTTTATTACAAACTCCTCCTCGGTTTTACGCGTGCGGTGAAAAAAACCACTAACGGTCCCTGTGGGCATCGGGGGGAGCTGCGTCCCGCAGGGAACCCCTCCGTCCCCGGGGGGAAGGTGCCCAGCTCCCCCCGGGCAGGAGCGCGCACACCTGCCCGCTCTGGGCGCCGGGCAGGCTTACCTTGAGGGTGAGCGGCGTGATCTTCTCCTTGTTCACCCCCTCGGGCAAGAAATCCAAGAGGCAGTCCAAGACCACGTCCTTCACAGTCTGAAACTCGGCTTCCCCTTTGAGGTCAGCGCAGAAGATGAGGTCCAAGTCCTTGTAGCCCAGGCCGCTGTCCTGGTGCAGGACGTGGCTGGCGGCC